GGAAACCCTGTACAGTGTCGTTAGGAGTCAACATAGACTCAATGAAATGTAACGATTACATGTGCATTATTTGCGCGCGCGCGCACACACACACACACACACACAAACAGTAGATGCTTATTGCTGCTGCTGGTTCTAGTACTTTTGCCCAGGAGTACCAAGTAATCAAAAGAGGTGCATTTCACATATCCAATAAGAGGGAAACAATTCAAAGGGCCTGAATAAAAGGTTTCCTATGATGAGACCACTGAAAATCAAACCTAGTATCTTTCCACCTCACTACCATCCTCCTTTCCATACTATTCTAAGCAAATTTCGATGCCTGAAAGTCTATAATTCAATTTAAGTGTAAGAACAATGCACCCCCTGAAGAGCTCATTCATTAGCTCCTTGTTAAATGTTGGTATAAATAAAATATATAAGGGGGTCTTCAAAAAGTTCATAAAAATGGGATGGGGAAGAAAAAAAAAAAAAGGGATAAAAAATTTTTGAAATATCATTTTGTTATCTGTAATACCTGTAAGGCCAACTTTCTTTCTACACATGAAACATCTATTCTTCTTTGGTTTGGGTAACTCAGGAGCTTTTTCTTCACTTTGAGAAGTACTGGGCTGAGAAACTGATGGACTGGGCTGAGTGACAACTGGTTCTGACACCTCTGTTTTCGGGGTAGTTATTTTGTCCTCTCTTGAAATGCTCATTTCTGTCATTTGCTGAGTTACAGGCAAGGCAGCAACAGGCACATTTCTACTTGAGTTCAAGCAAACAATTTTTAAAGGTGTTAAAGAGTAATCTTTGATACACTAAATATGCTACCAGTTTAATTTGTTATATTCTAACAAGGTTAAATATAGCTAGGTAAACTAAAATTTATAAAAGGAATATCAGATGCCTGTTACAAATAGTTGACAATAAAGAAAACAATTTACTAAATGTTTGATCAACTCAAGGTTGCATATTTATGTTAGCATTCCTATGATAACCAACTAGGAATTGCAGCTGTCTCTCTCAACTGTTTAGAGGCAAAAGGGGCAGTCTTATGTCAAGGAGACTCAAAACTTTTTGGATTAGATAAATCATCAGAGGCAAACTAAGAAGGGGAAGCTTGCCCTCAAATGTGGAAAATGGAAGTAAAAGACAATGGAATTTTTCTATCAACTTTTGAATGCCCTTGTATATAGCCTGCAGCTTCACCATAATACTTAAACATAAAGAAAAAGCACAGGATTCTCAATACTGTACCATTATGTGGTGTGTTTTAATATATATGTGTTTGTTAAGTATGTATATATATATTTGTAGTCAATGATCTAGAAGATCATACATTATAGGAAACTGAAAGCTCTGTGTAATGCACGCAGAGTCAAGGATGTTATAATTAATATTTTTATAATGGTGAAGACCTGGTGTGGCACTGTGAACTAATGCGCCAG